GGATATTCTTCTAAAGTCAAATATTTGTAGATGGACTTTTCCATCTGTTCACATTAAGACACTGAGTCAACTTTCCTTAAAAAAATAAACTTAATTTCAGTCAGATTGGATAAATACAGTGTCAGCAAATTTAAGTTTTCCTCAACATTTTTTACAGGGAGTTTGCTTTGTACTTTGACTAGGCCGTTTTAGCTCATTAATACATTTTGATCAGAGCAGCACAATAAAAAAAGATACTGAACACTGACAATATTGGATTTGATTACACCTCATTTTTTGGGCTCTTTTTTTATTTTCTGCTTTATCACAATGTGTCCCCTTCAAACTCAGGTAGCTTTTTCTATTGTCCACTAGAAATATATCGAATGTATAACTAGAGAGCACTGAAGCAAAGTCTATTCAGCAAAGGACACCTCATTGTAACGCAGGTTTTGGATGTATGACTTAAAACATCAAACCACAAGTTGTATCCAGTCTGTTGCGATTGCAGTTTTGCAAACATTAATAATGTGACGCTGCGTGCAATAAAAGCTATTGTCCATACAGGAGAATGGAAGAACAAAAGGCTAAAACTATTAAGTTTGTCATTAAGAATTTCCAAGTTTATCTTTACTTGGAAGCAAAATATAAATAAATGACGGATGCTTTGTGTGTATCTGAAGATTCTCAGTCATCCAGGTCATGGTCAATCTTGAAAAAGTTCAGTCTAGGCAGATATATTACTATGCACTTTGGGATGGATACCCTTTATCTGGTGCGGTTGTATGATAGAATTTCCAGGAAACTTGAAGACTACAGAACCCACTTGCCTTTCAACTTAAGATGCAGACACCACAAAATCATCTATTCCAGTTGCCTAGACTGAACTTCTTCCAGCGTGCCATGTGTGTTTGCACAATATGTGTGAATGTTTGTTTTTTAAAGCTTTCATCTAAAGGCACTCACTTAGAAAAGACTTTTTTTTTTTTTTTTACTCAGAGCACTAGTGTGGATCGATGTGAATAACGTTGGATCTTTGCCTCTGACAGGTTTGGCATCCACCCAGTGGCTGGTCGTATGCCTGGCCAACTGAACGTTCTCTTGGCTGAGGCTGGCGTTCCCTATGACGTGGTCCTGGAGATGGATGAGATCAATGACGACTTTCCAGGCAGAGTCTTTTTAAAAAAATAAATGAAGAAGACAGAATATAATATTTATTGAGACACGGTTATCACCTTGGCAGGACAGTATAGGATGAAATTACGATATCAGCCTTTTGTGTATTAAACATGTCCACATTTCCTTTGACACTCACAGCTGCTGCGTATGTAAGTGTGTGTGAAGATTCAGACATGCCATGTTTTTCGGACAACAGCTGGTGTTTTCTTAGCAACCAGCCTGCTGTCGAGGACACATGGTTCTTGTTTAGGAGGGAGCAGGATGGGCGCGATAGCTGAGCTTTAGGCGTAATCTATCTTGTAACTAAATGTGTAAATGTCTGTGACCCACAGAGACGGACCTTACGCTGGTCATTGGGGCCAATGACACGGTGAACTCTGCAGCGCAGGAAGATCCCAATTCTATAATTGCTGGCATGCCTGTCCTGGAGGTGTGGAAGTCCAAACAGGTTTGTTTAGGAATATCTGTTGAACATTGAAAAATCCACCTGGATATATAGTCTTGCTAAAAGAATTGACTTTATTTATGTTTCCTACAGGTTATAGTGATGAAGCGCACACTGGGAGTGGGTTATGCAGCAGTCGACAACCCCATTTTCTACAAACCCAACACATCAATGTTGCTGGGAGACGCCAAGAAAACCTGTGATGCACTGCAAGCCAAAATCAGAGAGGTCTACTACTAGTTACCTTATTCTTTTTTTTTTCAATACAAAAAAAAATCTTCAAGAAAGCTGTTTTCCAAGTAAATGATTTAAGGATCTGGATATTTTTGGAGATTTATTTAACATGCAAGAAAGGAAGCATAATTCATTCTTATTACCATTTCACTGTCACATTTAAAATGATGTAATCCAGTAAGCGCAAATGTCAACACCACTTTGTGTAAATATGAGATTGTGTTCTCATGTGTAGGTGCCAACAGTTCTTAGGTTTGTTTCAAACATGAGGAAAGTCATAAACTCACGGACAAAAGAGTTTTGAATTGTAAATAAAATATTCAAATGTTATGAAGTGTCTTTCTTTTAAGAGCACAAACAAAACTATCCACAGCACTGAAATACATATTTCTTAACTGCCGTTTGAGAAAACGTTTTTGTAGTCTGAAGTATAGTCTGAAGTTGATCTATCTCTTTTGTAGCTGTTAAAGGTAAATATGAACAGTAACTTACCTCCATTTAAATCTATTATATTGTTCATTTTATTGTTATTTTTCTTTTATTTAAATCATAGACTTAGACACAACTGTATTTATCCCTTAGGATTACTCCTTCAGGGAAATTCTGGTACCAGAAAGATTTAAAGCAAGATGCCATTAAAGATAAAAAAAAATATATAGTAAGAACATATAGTTAAGAAAAAGAAAAAAATTTTCCTGGAATATGTTTTCCTTATATATAAAAATATCTGCACAATAGAGAGCTACACAGTAATTGACTCAGATTATTGCACTTGCACTGCAGAGATGTACTGACCTTATAAGGAAAAAACTTACACATGCTACACAGTAATTGGCAGGTGTTATTACACAGTGAGAGAGAATATTGCAAGAGTGACAATGGGTAATGTTTTGCATAAGATGTCCAAGGAGGGGTTGCTGACCATTGTCCCTCTTCCTATCACCTCCTCCTTCCCCCAAGTGAGGAGTTTTACTGCTTGATGGCTTGAGGAACAAAGGAGTTCAGCAGTCTGTTGGTCCTACATTTGGTGAGGAGCAATCTCCCACTGATCGCGACTCCTCTGAGTGGTGAAGACTGCAGAGGGTGACTGGCATTGTCCATAATATCCAGCAGATTAAGTGTCCTTAATTCTAATTTATTTGAATTAATTTAAAATCTAGTTTTTCTAGTTTGGAAAGTGGTGTATTCTACACTTTAATACGAGTGACTTGATTTCAAACTTTACACTTTAAGCACTAACTCAAGGACTTAAATTTTTTTTGTTTTTTTGCTTGTAGGAAATTAGACATCCAGTAGAGAATTAAGAATGTAAAAGTAGTATAAACATAATTTATCTCATTCCTGTTTTTTAAAAGTAAAACTTAATTTATTTGCTGTTAAATGCAATAGAAAAGTATTTATGGAAATTACTGCAACAAATCCTGCCTTATGTTTAGCAGTGTTTTGAGTGCTTGGACAAATTTCTTTTAACATCAAGCTTTCAGGATCTTATCGCCATTACTCCATTCTTTTCCTTTCTTCAATTGTATTTATCAGATTCCACCGTTTATCTGTCCAGGTCCCTCTAAAGGACTTATCAGTTTTAGTCAGAAGAAAAAACTAAGAACATAAAAATTAGCCAGTCATGGATAATTTTGCTCTTAAATGTGAAAATTTCACAAACAGCCATCTTTGAGCTCTAGATTCTCACACATCACCTGCGGCAGCTCACAGATACAAAGTTGTTAAAGGTTAAACACATATAACCTTTATTTTACCGATGCAGATTGTATCGGTAGCAATACCGACCAATTCAGATTTGTCTTCTCTAGCTCAACAGCACGTAAAAATTTGAGACCAATTTGAAAATTACTGATAAAAAGAACTGTTATTTATGCATTAAAATCTTATGTTTCAAAATAACGCCTCATTCTAACTAAACTAAAAAAAAAGCCTTAAAACTTGCATGAAGTTGGGGAAGCATTTATAGATAAAACACAGCTTTTTATGATGCATTTAATGAATACCGGTATAAATTATTTCTAAGATTCATTACTTCCCAGTGATGGACTGAAACACTGAAGGGGAAACTGGCTGATACAAAATTGTTATAGATGATAATGAACAATATAAACAATGTTCAACGTTTTTATTAATTTTACCTCAAATATGTTGCTTCTTCCAACACAGCTTAAAATGTGAGAATTCAGTTTAGACCTTTCCCTGAAAATATAACCTAGTGTCTAACAGTTCGACATTGAGCTTGTGTTTAAAAAGATTTAAAGGTTTTCCTTCAAAACAGTGATATTTTATTCATTGTTTTGCTTGTCCGAGATGCGATTGCAGGGTTTCAAAGAAAGAAAGATTTCTCCTCTTTTTGGAACATTTCCTGGTCAACAGATATATATCAATCCTCTTTTAATCCCCAGTATGACAAACCATGATCAAATGCTTCTAATTCTCATTAACCACTGAGCTTTCTTACTCCAATCTTGAACCTTGTCCCAATAAACAGAGGGCTCATTCAACCACTACATTTTAATGTATTCAATCTCAGGAATAAACTAGAAAGTTTGAATGTAGATAAGGTGTAACTCCAATATTGGCTCTGCACTTTCTCCCCTGCAGCAGATTGCAGTAACACTAATTACAGTAAATGAGGGCCTGATTTGTATATGCATCCCCTGCTCCACTTTACCATCAGTCCCGAGCAAGACACCGATGTACCACAAAACTATTGCCTCAAACTTCTATCCCAGATGCTCAATGCACACCTGACATGATGGCCTGGATATGCAAACCAAAACACATCCCCAGCATAAAGCAGAGACCTGAAGACAAGTCTATAAATATTAAACTGTGAAAAAATAAATAAAAGACATTTCTGAACTAATAAATACCTGATGAACTCAAGTCGTTTCTCTTCTGAGCTTTAATCAAATCCCCTGCTTGCTTGCTGGTCAAGGTTTTGGACATTAGTAGCATAAAAGTGAAAGTTTTGATCACTTCAGTTTGTTTTTTTTTCAGTGAAAATTATCTTGACGGTCAGACCTTTAATGGTTAGATGGAGAAATCTTGCTGTTTGTCTCTTTGTCTCTGGTTTTACTTTTTGACAATCTTTGTTTTTCAGATCAACATGACTTCTTTAATATAATAACTCAAAAACTCACTCGATTTTGGAGCCTGTGTTTTATTGAATACTCCTGTGCACGTGAAGTTAGCTTTTCTTATGAAATAAAATGATAAAGTGATGAAAATAATATTACATAGACAAAGGCTTTTATACAAGTCTTCACTTGGGCTTCTCAATAAGTAGGAGCTTCGATTTCGTCTTTCCAAACATTTTTGATCAGCACTTTCCTTTTAAGGTTTTAGCTTTGTTGACCAGTGAGTGCAGGTAGGAGTAGAAAAAAAGAAGATTATCATATTCTCCAGTGTATTCCTGCAACAGGCAGTGCTGATGGAAGTCTTTGAGGAAATAATAAATAGCCTCAATAGTGGCAAGGTAAGTGTCTGGTTTTCCTTTCTGGGTCCTCCAGAAACAGGTTTTTCTCAGTTTTAGTTCCACCTGGAGTAGACCTAAAAAAAAAAAGAAAAAAAAAAAAGAGTAACATTAATGAACAAAAGACAGTACACAGAGATCATGTAAAAGCCAAATTACATGTTATCATACATTATGGACATTCCATGTCAGCGCACTTCCATAAAAACCTACAGAATTAGGCTTATTACCTTGGAGCCTTTCGTCTGTGCTGATTTTGTTGGTCTGATTCCATGTGCTGTCGATGAAGACCACCCTCTGTAAGGGGTAAACCTTTGAGTCGGATGTATTAGCTTCATCTGGGGTTTTTAACTGGTCACTGGCAACATCTGTGGAAGTTTGACCCTCAGTTTTTAGCCTCTTTACGCAGGGTTCATCAAAGGGGTCTTCAGACCTGTTTTTACTCCTATCGCGTAAACACTGGATCATGTCTTGAACTGAAACAGCCCCGGGGCCTGGAAACACCAGCACCACCTGCAAAAAAAACAAAACAGAGTTAAGTAGAATAACATTACCTCCATGTTGACATTACACAATCAAACAGGTTATTTCTGTAGTTCCTTAATTAACATACAGCTAAACCTGTGAAGAGAAAAAAAGAAAGATGAATGGGACTAAAGTGGAAAATTAGAAAGACAATCACCTTGCATTACAATGGCATTTCTGCTTCAGTTGTGCACTTTCTGCACCTTTGACGTGATTATTTCTAAATTAATCACACCACCAACCAATCAAATACTGGTCTTTTTCATCCAGTCATCCACCTTTTTAATGCATTGGATTAGTAAAAAAAACAAAACATACATTTCCATCTATCCAATGGCGGACTTCCTTCCTACTTAGTCATGAACAGCAATGCACCAGACTGTAAATAATATATATATCTCTCAAGGGTTGGCAACCCTCGGCTCTTTACCGCCCCCTTTGTGGCTCCTTTCGACTGTTTAAAAAATTTATGAACATTTAGTTTTTTGTTTGTTTACTTTAATATGGTGTGCAGAAGGTCAAAGAAACATTCATTATGTTTTCCAATGCTTTAAACATTTTTATAATAAATTAATTTACAATAAATGGAAACATTTCTTTCAACAAAAATTTGTTTCATGGCCATAGAGATCAGCGCGGTGCCAGGTAAACAAAGCAGCGGGGGTGTCTCAGACCATGTATCCCAAAGGGAAAGAAAAGAAGATAGCTGATGAGAACAGAGGATTCAAAGAAGAATGGACAGAGTCATTTGCTTTCATTATCAATGCGGAAGGATTGCCTGCAGTTTTTCTTTGTAATGAGAGGTTGTCAAAAATTAAAAAAGTAATTTGGACAGGCATTTTCAAGGTGAAAGCATGCTGTAAATTTAGCCGATCGCAAAGCTTGGAGTGAGGAAAAATTGTGATTGCAGAACTTCTGGATAAATTAGAGGAGAGCAATCTAGATTTAAGAGGTGGATTGCATATCCAAACTCCACCACTATTGCTGCTAGTTTTGGTACAAGAATGAAAAACTGTTCACAGATCCAACAGGTAGCGCTCCGATGCAGGTATTTGAATTTTCTTCAACACCCCCCCAGCACTGCTCTGATGGTTGTCAGTTACTGCTTGGTTTCTTGCGGCTCAACTCCTCCCAACAGAAACACGTCAATGCAATAAAACGTAACACGCGAGATGAAGGGTAGTGCAACGGCGCGGGGTGAATTCCACGCAGTGAGAGCGTTCACTGCTCCTCCCTCACCTCATGCTACTATGTGACATTTGTTAGATAAACATTTAATCATGAATGCGTATCATACCTGTAAGCTCAGTCATTTTTTGTGATGTCATACGCGTATATAACACTTTTACATATTTGCGGCTCCACACCAATGTTTCTTTGATCCAATATGGCTCTTTGAGCAGTTGGGTTGCTGACATATAGAGTGTTAATCTCTAATGATTATTGTGTCAATTGGAAGCCGCTGCCCCTGACCTAGCAACCTCAGCTAAACCTAGCCTCTTTTCTGACTACATTGAACTACAGCTGAAGAAGTAGACAAATAAAGGTAAATTTATACCTCTGACACATAGCCTCTGCAACCATAAAATCTGCCTATGTGCGCGACCACGCCCCCGCGCAGAGGCTTTGCAACTGTTGTAGTGCACCTCAAAAAATTCCTGACTACACGTAGGATGGTTACAAACCCGCGCAGACCTCAAGTGGAAGTGCGCAGACAAAAAGCAGCTGTGATTGGTCCTTGGTATGCCTTTCCGGCTGTCTGTGTGGTTGTCCTTCTCGATTCTCTTTAAAAGGAAACCACTTTGCGTCCCTAGAAATTCTAGAACGACTTTGCAGAAGCATACCACCAAAACTGGTTCGCCACCAGACGCAAGCGACATTTGATGTGTGCAGTTGCAGAAGTATAATCCGCCCTTAAGGGTTAGCACAATTTTCACAAATTCATCAGATCTAAAAACAAACTAAATGCCTCCTTAAAGTATGTTACAAAAAGAAATTTTTGTAAAACCTATAAAACAGAGACAGGTATTTTAAGCAGGTAGAAAGATATGACAGGACAGTTTACATAAGTAACTAGCATGATGCTTATTTGCTAATTTTCTCATATTTTAAATGTATCCACTATTACTTATTGAAACTCATCTAACCTTATCTTTTTCATACTCAGGGATGCAGGGGTAGGTGTACATTGTGACATCATTGGATGCCAGAATCTTGGCATGGACTGCAGTGCTCTTCCCGTCTGTTTCATTTGGATGCTTGATGATGTCTATTTTCACAGGAAGCTAAGCACAAAACAATAACATCTAGAGTCAGGTCAACAGGAGAGTTTATCCACATGATTTCGTGATCTTGCATAAAACTCATTGAATCACATCGTTAGAAATAACATTTGAAAAAAATCAATGTTCCAGAGGAGACATAAAAAATTAATGGATTTTTAAGATCTTACTAACCTTGATTACGGGAATTTCTTGCATGCCGACACCCACTAATGAGCAGCATGTGTAGCAGAAGAACATCCTTGATCCTCCACATTTTGAACACTTCAACCTGCCTCTTTGTTGGGCTGAGTCCAGCACTACATGTGATGCCAATTTTAGCCCCTGGAGAGGCTGTTTGGTGAGCTCATGGACGTCTGATGAATCGCTAGTAATCGTGGGTTTGTCACGGCAACCGGAGTAGAGTCCCTGGTATCCTTCCAGGCTGCTCATTGCTGCCTGTTCAGATGGGGATGTATTTGTCTTGGAGTCGGGTGACTCTGCAATCATCATCAAACTAAATGGGCAAATAAAATATTTGAAATATAGTACAGAAATAAACAGCATAGCATTTACATGACGACTGCAAAAAAGAAAAAAAGGCTGACAGTTACAGAATAATAATGTTTATCTAGCTGGGAGTAATCGGACAAGAAAAAGAAGATGTTTTTAGACAAATAGACTGAAGTTGTTGGCAGTTATTGATTCAGACATGTGATATTAGCTGTCAGTGAAATCCTTTTTCATGTCAGTAAAATCTTTTTTCAAAGCAAAAACGTTCTATTGAGACATTTATGAGCTGCCTCCTACCAAAATGTATTGTCTTCTGTTAACTATTAACAGTAAAACAATTTCAAACCTTGGATTTAAACACTTAGTCTCAGTTACTAAGCACCAAAAGAGCAATAATAAAGTGTAGTAATTTATGTACACATGAAAACACGCTGTTAGCTAAATATGCGAGCAATTAAAAAGTTAAATAAATAAATTTGTTATAGATTATATAGGCATTTTGATATTTATGTTGTTTTTCCTGGTCTACAGTGTACTATAAAAATATTTTAATTGTTACTACAACAGGTCACATGTAGGTATCTTCTGATCTGATATTGACTTTGGAAAATCGCTCCTATATCTGACATTTCAGATTAAGGCTGACCCATAGATTGTCAACCAATCTATGGGTCAGGTGTCCCCATACCCATTATTTACTGTTTACTGTTGTTCTCCCGAGTGTTTTCGAATGTCCTCCTTACTACAAATGAAGCAATGCCACACTACAAAAGAAGCAATACAAGTATGTAGGATGCATGTGGTGCAGTTTCTAGAGCAGTTGCCTTGCAGCAAGGAAGTTGCTGGTTTGATTCTTTCTGAATGGAGTTTTGCTGTTCTACCCGTGCATACGTGGGTTCTTCCAGGTACACCGGTTCCTCCCACATTCCAAGAACAACAATTAACCGTTAGGTAAATTAGCTTCCCCAAATTGTCCTTAGGTGTGAGAGTGTGTGTGTGAACGGCTGTATGTCTGTACGTCTCTGTGTGTTTGAATGTTGCCGCACAGACTGGCAACCTGTCCAGAGTGTACCACGCCCCTCGCCCATAGAATGCCCGAGATAGTCCCCCGGCCCCACCGCAACCCTGACAGAATAAGTGGGAGAATATGGATGGAACACAAGTATTTCTGATTTGTGTCGATATCGTATCAAGTAGGGGTTGGTATTGCCAAAGAAGTCACGATTCGATTCCAATCACGATTCACATGCCACGATGCATCACGATACGTGAAATATTGCGATGCATCGCGATGCCTTGTGATATTTTCACTGAACACTGTAATAAAAAAATACAGCTATTACCAGTGGCTGACTGGCTGTGTATGATCTGGATAGTGTCTTCAATTGATACATAACTGAAAGCAACTTAATTCATACATAGCTTTATTTATTGAGACAACTATCGAAGGTATTGCCATGAAAACAAATACTGGACACAAATATTACTATTACTGGAGTGGACACACTGACAAAAAGTGCTTAGGATTTAAAAAACTTAAAATAACAGTGCCGTTTACATGGTCTCAGTGGTCCTTTAAACCAAATGGAAACATTCAAATGTTTGACATTTCCCCTTTTGCAAATTACGTGCGTTATATCAATTTCGTTTTTACATTCTTTGTTTTTAAAGCCAAACTGCATCTAAACATCTGACTTGGAATTTGATGGCGCTGGGCGAATTTTCTCAGTCTCCATGTTTTGTTTATGAATGACTCGTCGTGGTATCCGCAGCGACATCTACTGGACTGAAAGTTGTAGTCCACTTGTTTTTGGCTGATGTGTGCCAACCATTCATGTATTTTATTTATTCCTTTTTGTTAATTAAGAATCAATACTTGGCATCAAGAATCGATGGAGTAGATCACAAAAATTAGAATTGCGATGCATCGTCATGACGATTATTTTGCACACCCCTAGTATCAAGTAAATAATCAGTATTGTATGGGAAATTTAAAAAAAAATTGGATAAACGAAACTGCTAATCACTTGTAGTTTATCTAAACATTTAACTTGTTATCCAAGAAAAAGAAATGTAAACAGCAGCCATTAGCCAGTTATTTTCTGTTTTTCTTAATATATAATAATATTTATCCCGCTCTATATTTCAAATATAAAAAGAAAATCTAGCAGAAAAATAAATTCTCTTTGTGTTCGCCCTCATTTTTCAGCACTAAAAACAGCAAAATAAGAAGTAATCTATTAATATATTGAAATTAAAATGATATGGCCTCCAGTTGTTTATACTGTATCCTGGACAGCTGAGGCGCATTGGGTCACCTCCAGCAACCTGTATTAAAATCTGTGTCAATATTCAAAAAGTTTGTTAATGTTTATATTCAGATTAAATTACAACCATTAAAATACATCTATAAATTTTGATCATTTTCATGAGCAGCCAGAAAGCACATAAAGAATACATGTTTATTACACGTATACATGAATGAAAAATATGCTCTCAGGATATAAATAATGCCCTTTAATAAAGCTATAGTGAAACCTAAAAGGAATATATTTCCACAATCTAAAACCTATTTCTTTTTCATGTGTACATAGATACAGACATTGGTTTTAAATAAGCTCTTATAATTTTGATAGGGTGCTTTTTAATGTAAAGTTTTAAGTTAATGTATATTTAATTTAATGTATATTTTATTTAACTCTTCAGTGAATCTTTATAGCAGTTTTAAAACTTGCATATATTTTGTATTAGAGGGGTGGGGTGGGGTGTGGGGGGGTATCAAAGTCTTTCATGGGGCCCTAAACTCCTGGTGGTGCCCCTGGTGGGATGGATGAAGAACCAACCTATGCAGCCCAAAGATAAGATTTTAATATCCTGGCAGATACCATAGCAACCCCCTGCCTACAGATCAGGAATGTTTTGACAGTAATGGAGAGACCAAAAACAAATGACAGCAGGACATAATGTTACAGCTAAAGCCCTTTCCTTTTTTTAAGTTCCAACTTTTACCTTGGGTAAAAGAAAATGTTTATTTGGTCTTTTTAGATGTTTTCAGCTGGATTGCTTATGGCTAAATTCTGAAATAATACCATTTTGTTCAACAACTGGAAGACTGTGAGTGTGATTCGTGCCTACTGCAGATAGTCTTTGTTATTTCCCATTTTAACCCTTTATAGGGCACTCAGGGAAATACTTTGAAAATCCAAATTTCAAGCCAATAGTGTTATTGGAATCAGGACAAGACCTTATCACCTTTGTAACATTCAAAAAATATTGATGGAAAGAAGGATTGTCAATGTAATGACAGGAAATGCAAACTTGCCCAAATATATTAAGAAAAATAACAAAAGTGCTTCTATAGGAAATTAATGAAAAACACTCAGAGTGAAAGAAACACATTTTTTGGTACAACCTAACATTAGAGGCATTAATGCTGATACTTACATTTTTAAGTTTATAAACCTTAATATAATAGTTAACTAGGCTTAATAACTTTACTTTTTAACTTTACAATTCGCTTTTTACCTTTTTTGTAGTTCATTTTATCATTCAAGGGCTCATCTAATTAGTCAAATGCCAAAATAAGATGTACAGCCATGTAGCTGCATCTTTACTGAATGGCTGGATATAGATCTTGTGCTTCTAGACCTCACCGTGGGACAGAGGAGGGGGGGGGGGAGACTACATTTATAAGGGGTATGCAAAAGATCAAAAACTCTAACTTTGCCTATAACAGCTTAAAATGAACAGTTTAGAGTATTCAAATCTACAAGAACGATACAATGTATATATATATATATATATATATATATATATATATATATATATATATATATATAAACAAATCCTGGGTTCGGGACAAAAATATTAGAGAGGTGAAGGAAGTTGCTGAACTGCTGACATACACTAAACCGCGGGTAGCGTTAGTTAGCTACAGTAAAATAGCCCAAAATAAAATAAACAAAAATCTTTAAGTGACAGTAAAACAATAAAACGCGATAAAAAAAAGACTGTTTCGGCGTATCTGCAGTCAAATCTCTTTCGCTTTTAAACTGAAGCTACATGAATCTATAAAGCTAGCTACTGTTAGCTTCATATTTACTTATACACTCGGCCTAAAACATATAATCAAAAACCAATTCAAAGGAGAAACATTATTCAAAACTAGATGTTATCCACAGATAGGCTAAATACCAAGTGACAAATCAAACATGCCTACCAGAAGCAGCTATAACACCGGAAGTGCTACACCGGAGGCGGAAATAGAATTAAGAACGCCGTTACTAGGCAACAGTCGCGCAGTAAGATTGATTGCGCCCCCAATAGAACAAGAGCTGATATTACAAGCAGAATGTTATCAAAAAGAGGAAAAAAATAGGAAATAAATCGATCTATTGAGCTACATAGCTATGTTTAGCTATTAAAAATAGTTAATGATATTTAACCAGTAAATCACAGAGCAGTGTTAGCAGGGGAGGGGGCTCTGGGTCGTTTTGTCAAGATTATAATACTGTAAATGATTTAATTGTTGCTGTAAGATGTAACAACATAGTATTAGGATTTGGTTTGATAAACTGAAAGATTTTAGATGTGTATTCAGGCTGAATACATGTGAATGGTTAGGTAACCCAGTGCTACTCATTCTGTCAGTTTTTAAGGTTTTGTAAATTGATTATATCACAGGATGATTTCTCTTTTTGAAGCAGTTATCTGTGAACTCTGAGAGCTGGTTTTGCATCACAGCAGAAAAGCATTTTCTGAAATGATCAGACCATCTTGCATTAACAAAACATTCTGTTCCAAGTCCTTTAAGTCTCATTTCACATTTTCATCCTCAGTGACTCATCTTCACCACATACTTAAATGCACTGAATTGATGTAAGGGTATTAGCTAATTTCATACTTATTTTGACATACAATTGAACATGTGTAGGTTTGTCTAGTTTGTTGAACCATCTTTTATGTACCTGATTTTTAAGCTTTTATGTCCAGTAGCTTTTATGTTTGCATTTTGTCTTTTTTGTCTTTTTTTTTTTTTTGAGTATTTTGTGGAGAAATTGTTGAACTAACATGACTAAATGTCTCAGCCCAAAATGGGTTCATGATTATTTAAATTGAAAATGTTTGGTTTACTTTGCCATGACATTTATGGATTTCCTCTGCTACAGACATATGGTCAGGTTGCTTAGCTAATTTACTAAACAATCTATAACTTTATGAACACCATGTATCCATTGAGATCCAGAGGAAAATAAAGGTGACCTGTCAAAATTATTTGTTACATGAAAAAAGGTTAGGTTCCCACAATTTATATCTCATATTTCACTATTTCAATTATCAACTTTATTACCGTAGTAACTAAAAAATGGCAGCCTTGATTTTTATGCAAAAGGAAAAGCATCAAGGATGTAGCATTTAAAGCATTTAAAAGACTTTCAAACAACAAAATAGTGTCCTCAGTCAGAGGCTTACATATACATATCACTCCAGAAAATCTATAAGATAAAAAATATTAGGAGTTACTTTAACATTTGACTTTGCTTAGGGATCAATAAAGTGTTTTTGAACTGAATCAGATTAAAATGTTTAAAAATATCATAAAACATAAGGAAGGTATCTTGGTCTGCTGATTGACGGCGCCCATATTGATGTGTATGGACCTCCTAAACCACTAGGTCTTCTACTTCAAGCCTATTTTGTTACCCAGAACCAAACACAGAAAAGCAGCATTTAGTTCCTTTGCCCCCCTTATATGGGACAAATCCCTAGAAGGCTGTAAAAATGTTGAAAGCCTCAATCAAATTAAAACACCCATTTGTTTGGAACTGCCTTTGCCTGTTAAATGTAAACTGTAAACTGAGGTATCATAAATGTACGTTTTTGTCCAGCTGTTTCCTACTTGCTTTACTACCTTCTTTTATCATGTTTAAACTTTTTATTTTGATTTTTTTTCTTGTGTACTGTTTCATGCAAGTGAAGCACTTTGAATTGCCTTTGTACTGAATTGTGCTAGACAAATAATCTTGCCTTGCCTTGATGTAGGCACTCGTAAAAAAAAGAAATCGGCCACGCTGTTTGCCATTTTCCAAGCATAAATCAATTTTAAACATCAAGACTTTAAACTTTAAACATCTGCTCTGCAAATACAGTAAGTTTGCCATGTTTTTCATGGCTAATATTTTGAAAATGTAAATTATTTTGGCGAAATCAGATGCTATCACAAGAAGAATTTTGACAAGAACGACAGGAGGAAGAAAAGCTTGGTGCATAATATGTTTGGTGGTTTATGTGGTAAAATTTTTGTCAAAATCATTTTAGTTGGAGTCAACTTTGGTTCTGAACTTGTTAAGCCTGGCCAACTAGACTGAATTACATGGAGCCTAATTCAGCTGTTTGCCATGATTTTGACAATAATGGTTGACTTGATTACTCATCTTATTCACCTATGTAGCTCTGTCTCGTTCCTCATCAATACTCATCTGATCCACCGGCTCCTGCTTCTACTTAAACTCCTTGGTCCCAGCCATCAGTGCCAGATTATTCTTGAGCCTTTGGTGTTGATAGTTCTCAAGTGTCTCTATAGTGTTCTGATTGTCGGATCCTGATCCGTTTCTGTATTTGGACCTTTGAGCCTGCTTGTCCTAGTCTGATCTGTTTGCTTGCCTGTCTTCTCCTGGATTCTTCTGTGGACTGAACCTGGATCTGCCTCTTGACTTAGCTGTGTGGATTATTCCTGTCTTCTTTCATCAGCTCGGATCTTCTAGGCTTCCTCGTCTGGAACTGTTTAGCAGCGTCTGTTATGTCTCTTCAGCCAACCTGCTTTAATCATCCTCATTCTCTGGGCATGGACTGAACTGTCAAACCAGGTTAGTGACTGACGCGCTCATTATGACAATACTTCAGATTATTCATATTCACTAACCTGTTTTTCTCTCTGATAGACATTCCTGCCCCAGACGCCGTAGCCGCTGCAATTGCCACCACTGCAGCTCTTTTCTGTCTTTGTTGGAATAAAGGCATTTAAGTATTCCACTGTCTGTCTTGCCTGAATTCTGGGTCCAACTTTCTGAGCCATTACAACGTTGACTCCAGCCAGATCTGGCTGGACCAATCACAGTGTGGGAGGCTGGACTGCAGGACTCCCAGTGCCAGAATTACCCATAATGCAGCACAACTTTTCTGCTAGCAAAACAATCAGTCTGGCTGGCACAGCTAGGGCTTCATATGAGTGTGCTGATCACTGCTCGGGTATATATATATTTTTTTATACAACTGTGGCCTAGACGTCTCATAAGTTGCATTTCCATAAGTTTTTTCTAATACACATTTATAATTATCTCATCAGAAAAGTGGAAATGGTAAAATAAAAATAAAAAAACGCCCTCAAACTTTAGTTGAGTTTCACTACTTCTGGTAAAAGATTTTAACTGACATATGTTTGGAGTGTTTGAATATGCTTTGAGCTGAAAGATTTTTTTAAATAAAAATTATAATTTTTATTCTATATATGTGTAGAGTTATCTGTTTTGTCATGTTTTGAGCTCGATTCCTATGTTATTTTTTGTTCAAACACACAGCCAGTAGGGTGTGTGCTCACAAACAATATATGGCAGTCCAAATATTATCTCATTAAATAACATATCAATCACCCTTATGGGTTGGGCAATACAATTACTAAATGAAGCAAAAACTTGACTCATTGGGAAGGGGGTAAAATTCAGTGTTACCTCCTAAAGCTAGGCATACACTGTATGATTTTCTTGCCCTTTTTGGGACCATTTTTTCAGCCGTGCTAGAATTTTTTTATCAGGCCGTTTTTCAGCATAATAATGCGTAATGTAGTATACAAGGGACAATCAGCCTCTCACGACCACCTCCCGATCAGGAATTGTGAGGTTGGGAGAAAATCAAACATGTTTGAAATTCAGTCAGCCGTCATGGGCAAATAGCTCAGTGGGCATGTATAAACAAGGATTCTTCTTCTTCCTCTCAGAGGAAAATACAGAATCATGGCGAGGGTGCGAGTGAAATTGAGTTCTTTCTATAAAATTAACAGACCCTAGTAGCCACGTTGCTCAGCCATGTCTTTGTCCAAATACATTGTTGCCTTTTCTTTTCAGGGCTTTTGGCACATAAAATTGCACAAATTGCCAAGGCAGACGTTTCACTCTAGTGAACTTCATATTCCTCTTCTACTCTTTGGCTACTCTACTCTTAGGCGAGTCCGAGTAGCGCCATCTCACCGCGGAACTGAGTCCGATGTGGTTTTTAGATGTACAGTGTAAGCAAGTTGATTGCATCAGTCCGCACAGTGTGAGAACATACATCATGAGCTGTGAACTTTAAACCCTGCTGTTTCGTTGTACGTGTGAGCTGGAGCTGTGTGCATCGATTTGAAAGAAATTGTACGGTGTATGCTTGGCTTAAGTGGGTGACCAGGATGAGGGGGGATTTAACCCTCAGGCACCTTCACAATCTTTCAAGAATGTTTGGTGTGAAGGACTGCCTTCGAGTCAATGAGTTGTTGCAGTCAGCTGGTTTTCCTTAAATAGAAAACTTTGAACCAATCTGACTGTATAATTTGC